CTCATGCCCGGCAATACGCCTCTGAGGCGAACAACAGCTCTACAAGGCGTCAAATTTAAGAGGAAGTTCACTGATAACAACATGAAGTCATGACCCTTGTGGAGGGGCAGCTGTAGCACTGTAATGACTTAAACCTAGTTCAGCGGAGTCTGTTAGTTGTTTACTCTCCTGTGGAGTGTGAAACGCGGAGAGGGGGAGAGGTGGAGAGAGAGAGAGAGAGAGAGAGAGAGAGAGAGAGAGAGAGAGAGAGAGAGAGAGAGAGAGAGAGAGAGAGAGAGAGAGAGAGAGAGGGAAAGAGAGAGAGAGAGTGGGAAGGGAGGGATGGAGGGAGGGAGGAAATCTTGGGAAAGAGAGAGGGAGAGAAGAAGGAGGGAAGGAAAGAACTATCAGGGGAAAGCGGCAATCTATTACGACTATATTGCACCGAATGGAGGGAGGAGGAAGAGAAAGAGGGAAGGAGCAAGGGAAGGAGCATGGGAGGGAGGAGCGAGAGAGGGAAAAGAGAGAGAGAGAGAAGCGGAGGGAGAGACAAAGAGAGGGACAGTGAGAGGTTTAAAGGAACGAAGTGTGACAAAGTAATAGCAAGCAAATCATGTAATCAAATTAAGAAAGGAAAAGGGGATGACCTGAATTTCTGATGAATTTCAATAAAAATAGGAAAATTTCTATAAGAAAAACTTGTCCCAAATTTTCATAGGCATCAACACATTTTTCATTTCTATGTTTGTTGATTACTTTCTAAGAGTTGGATGTCGGGTCAGCGATAAAACAGGGTAAGGGAGCGGTCGGACGGACGGAGGAATGGACGGAGAGACGGACGGACTGACTGACCGACAGATGCATGGAAGACAGACGGGAGGACGAACTGGCGGATTTAAGAACAGACAGACACACATTCGAACACACACACTCATTCGAACACACACACACACACACACACACACACACACACACACACACACACACACACACTTACACACACACACACACACACACACACACACACCCCCCTTCCTTTAATCTTATGAGGGTAATATTTTCTCCCGTCCTTAATAACGCTCAACCCTATTCCCACTTGTCCCTTTCAAGCCTTCCCTCTTTCCCTTCCATGATTCCCCTTCCGTGGACTCCCCTTCCTTGGCCTCATCTTCCTTGGTCTCCCCGTTCCTTGGCCTCATCTTCCTTGGACTCCCCTTCCTTGGCCTCATCTTCCTTGGACTCCCCGTTCCTTGGATTATCTATTTCCCCATTCCGTCCTAACCTTCTCATTAGCGTGATCTACTGCATCCCTTCCTTCCTTCACCCTCGTACCCTTCCCACCCTGAAATGCATTTTTTCCCATTCCCTTCCCACTCTGGATTGCTTCCTTTCCTACCATGGCTTCGTTCTTCCATTCCACAACATCGAGATTCCCGTCCTTTTTATGAATTCCCTTATTGTCATCCCTCTCCTTCCCTGTTTACTCTCCCTTTCCGTCAACACTTGCCTCCCCTCCCTTCCTTACCCTCTCCCTTCCCTCTCCCGTCCCATAGTGCCTTCCCTCCCCTCGTAAGAAGCCACAGTGCGTCGTTAAAATCGGCTACTGTCAACAAGACAGTGTTTGTGTATTGTAGTCAGCATGTTTCCCCTCTAACAGCCTCCCTTCTCCCCTCTGACCCTCTTCCCCTCTCCTTCTCTCTCTCTCTCTCCTCTATCCCCTCTTCCAATGTCGCCCTTCCTCGTTCGCCCTATTAGCGAGAGAGAGAGAGAGAGAGAGAGAGAGAGAGAGAGAGAGAGAGAGAGAGAGAGAGAGAGAGAGAGAGAGAGAGAGAGAGAGAGAGAGAGAGAGAGAGAGTGGGGGAGTGCGGAGGTTTTGGAAACATAAGAATTTATATTGTTTATTCAATTAAAAAAGTCAGAGCAAAACAGGAGGTATATTCCCAGCAGAGAAGCCTCGGTGAATGTACTGAGACATGGAACGATGCTGCTCTTGATTCGTGATAGTATGGACAATTAAATTTCGTTATATATATTATCTATGATAACGGCAATAATGATAACTGAAAGTTGTAATTTTATTGTAATTAATACATTTTAGGTAAAGAGCAAAGCACTAACGATAATGGATTAAGGTAACATAAGCCTAACTTAAATTACTATAACTCTCTAAACCAGAGAATAATAAACTATATAAACAAATTATGATGATATAAAGCGAAATCTTGGAAAGTCTTTATTATTATTAACATCTTTATTGACAAAATTAATTACAATTTTGCCTAATCTGAGGATTTTGATAGTCTTATTAAATTGAGGTTAATGCTAGTATTCACTGTCTTGTGATATTTTTCTCTGTTCTACAAGTTCACAACGGGTCGTTGGATGTCGCAATAGGAGCCAATCCTACTTAAGGAGGGGCATAGAGGTCGATCCCTGAGGTGAGGGATCGACTGCAACCAACTGGCCTCGACCCTCGGCCAGACAAAGAGATCAACAGACATTATCTTTTACAGATAGTGATAGCTGGGGTACGCAGCGGTGCCCGGGTCTGTCTCTCTCCATCTCTTCTTCTCTTCCCCCCTTCCTTCCTTCCTTCCTTCGCCTCTCTCTCTTTTCCCACCCTTTCTTATTTTCCCTTTTTTAACATTCAAATCTCCTCCTCCTCCCCTCTTGGCAAGTTGGTAGAGGAGATTACACTCTTTAAAAAGTGAAATCGATACTGATATCATCGATTGCACTTATTTTCCCAACCGTGTGTGTAGTTATTATTATAGACCAAGTAACCAATGGATAACAACAGTTGAATAAATCAAGCATGACTTAGTTGAACCTTAATATGACGTCACTGGTCGGAGAGAGAATAGAGTAGGAAATGTTAGAAAATAACAGAGGGAGGATAAGGATAAAACTGAAAATGATAAAAGAGGGAAGAGATACGACGAGAGAAGGAAAAGATAGTAAATACGCAGAGGATGACAGGACATTTAACAGAGAAGAAAGAAGTGTAGGAGAGAGAGAGAGAGAGAGAGAGAGAGAGAGAGAGAGAGAGAGAGAGAGAGAGAGAGAGAGAGAGAGAGAGAGAGAGAGAGAGAGAGAGAGAGAGAGAGAGAAAGAGAATAATCTTCTTGGGTCTTCGATCCATCCAAAGAAGGATAAAAGCTCAAGATACAGCTATTGAATATTTTCAGTGAAAATTATCTTCATAAGATCTAAACTTCTATTAAATAAATCATGAAAGTGACCTTTATGGGCATAAATGACTTCGTTACAATCTTTTATTTGAGCTTAAATAAAGATTAGAACTTAATTTCTTTATCGAATACAGAATGTTTCGTTTAAAATGATTTTGGCCAATCAGCACTGAGGCTTCCTCAGTGCTGATTGGCTGTACACAGACGATGGTGATTGGCTGTATATAGACGAGGGTGATTGGCTGAATGGCATGGTCAGAAATTCATAAGGGTTAGAAACCAATCATAAGAAGGTGATCATTGCCAAGAAATAGGTGTGGTTATTGCCAATGAATGGGGATGATTGTGGCCTGTGATTGGCCAATAATAGAGGGTGCATCTATCATTCACAAATCCCTGATGGAAGGTGACTCGTGGACGATACTGGATGGTGATTGATGGATGACTGTGAAAGATCAGTTAGTGATTGTGATCAATGAGCCACATTGTCATGCGGATCCAGGTACCAACCTATCCCCAACCATCGACCAAACCCAATTTTTAAGTAAACATTGCCTCGTTACCTTCATATAAACGTATCATATACATACAACACGACCTAACATGATATAAACAGACCCAACATACCAACACGCCCTCACATGATATAAACAGACCCAGCATACCAACACGCCCTCACATGATATAAACAGACCCAGCATACCAACACGCCCTCACATGATATAAACAGACCCAACATACCAACACGCCCTCACATGATATAAACAGACCCAACATACCATCACGCCCTCATATGATATAAACAGACCCAACATACCATCACGCCCTCATATGATATAAACAGACCCAACATACCATCACGCCCTCACATGATATAAATAAACCCTACATACCATCACGCCCTCACATGATATAAACAGACCCAACATACCATCACGCCCTCACATGATATAAACAGACCCAACATACCATCACGACCAAACGTGACATGAATTCACAAATAAAACGTCGTAAAACTCCCAACATTCCCATGGGCCTCAGAGCTAAACATTTAGCAACAGAGCAGTAGTTGCATGCATGGAGGAGGTCTGCAGGGGCGGTGACCTGTACGCCAGTGCCATGAAAGACAAATGTTTGGCGTTGACTCCAGGGAATACCCGGCCATTGAGGCCTCCTGCTACCACTATAGAGATGAATTCCACTATACGGAATTGATATTTCATTTACCTGGGCTCTAGGAAACTCGAACCGTGGACTCCATGCGTGTGAGGTCCGAGCTCTATCAACCGGGCTATTGAGTAGTCTTGATCAGGAAATTGAATTGATAAATTACAGTACAGCTTTGGCCAAATAGATATTACGTCAATTATTACTGCTACTACTCCTGTGACTACTCCTGTGTCTATTCCTGTGACTACTCCTCTGTCTACTCCTGTGACTACTCCTGTGACCACTCCTGTGACTACTGATGTTGGGACTATTATTCTGGTTACTGAACATTGTCTATAGAGCCTTGATAAAGTATGTACGTTTCATACGAAAAGTTGGTTTAATACACTTATTTCTCGGGTCTTCATGTAGATACTCTAAGTAACTAGTTTTACTTTTACTATTGCTGTTGTTAGTAATACCATAACTGCCTCTCTCTCAACTGGTACTGTAACTTCAAGTATAACTATTAGAGGTTTGATGTGGGGTCAAGTACTAGCGAGAACCACAACCTGATTATGTTCTAAGCTGTAAACTATATGGAACCAGTTTTTAAGTAATGGATGGAACAAGGTTAAGCTTAGCTGGTATCTGGGGTGTACTCCCGATGCCTGAAGTCACCTCGGCTGTGGTCCCGACGCCTGAAGTCACCTCGGCTGTGGTCCACAACTGACGTCTGAAGTTACCTCGGTTGTGGTCCCGACGCCTGAAGTCGCCCCGGCTGTGGTCCCGACGTCTGAAGTCACCTCGGCTGTGGTTCCGACGTCTGAAGTCACCTCAGCTGTGGTTGACGATGAGGGAATTAATTTCCGTAATTTTGAGAACATTTCTTCTACACAACACTGAGTTAAGTAACTTTGGGACCGTAAGGAACACGTACAGATGTAGGTATCTTAAACGTGCAATCCAGCTTCAGAGTCGGAACGCCTCCTCCTTGTGTCAAGTATGTGAGGCGAGTTGATGGTGGTTGTCCCCATCAAACAAGGGGTGCAGTTCCCGCCGATCGAGTTGCCACATGTGTAGTTTAAGTAATAATTTAATCCTCACCAAGTGGAGTTAGATAAGTTTTCTTATGAGGATATTCAGGTACATATAGTAGGGAAATTCGTGGATGATAAAAAGAGCGGTTTTGAGGTTATGTTGTTGTAGGTATATTTTATGTGAATAGACAAGTCTGCGCAGGAGAGGTTAGCGTATGTTTTGTAGTGACTCCAAATCTTTAACAATGTGTCATTTTGGTTGTATGAACGTTTTTGATATGTCATTTTGACCCTTCTCTTGCGTTAAAGTGTTATCCACGTCACAATTTCGAATTAATAATGTATTGGCGGTCACTTATGGTGCGTTGCCATTAGTGAGTAACACAGGAGTCATCGTACAGCGGTCAAGGTGAGCCTCTATCTGTAACTTGTCGTTCACTCAGCTGTTGTTGTTCTGAAATCTACGTTACTTGTAGATGTCACGTGTATATCTTTAGTACAATATGTGTATAATTTGTATACGGTTATGATACAGCTCAGGGCTTAGTTTCCTCACGAAATATACAGGAGCAGTTAAACCATGTCACTGTGGCTAATTCATAGACCGAATTAACAGTGGTTAACTAAGTCAATGAGTCGTGTGTCAATCTCAATGGAGTCGTAAGAGTGGAGCATGACCTATTGGGTTTCTTCTGTGTAACAAAACCCAGACTCGAGAAGCTTGTCGTTGCTATGTGGCAATTTCCATAACATAGACTCCATAAGATCTTTAGTGTCTTGCAATTTTTGTGAAATATAACTTCCATTAAAAGTTTGTTTTTATCCTTCCGTGGATCTTACAATCACCTTAAGTTGTGACTTTTTTATTTCCTGATTACTCAGGAACAAGCTCTGTGGTATATAAAATTAATATTGCAAAGGAAACGAGCAATTTATCTGAGGCCATTCGTGTTCTTTATCAGCTGTCACGAGTGCTTGTACTTACCAAATTCGCTACAAAACTTGAAAAATTTGTACACTGCAGAAACTGGTAAAGTTCTGGATGAAACAAATCCAGCAGCACAAATAAAATAATAGAACAGGTCAGGATGTTTACACGTTGTTGGAACTAATGATGGATAATAGTTATCCAATCATTTGGAAATCATGTTCAGGAATATTAACATAAAGTTCAGTTCGACACAAGAGAACAGTTTAATGTTCTCTCTGTTCCAGATTCGAATATCAGTCTGTTCCTTGACACCAAGAGAACCTCGCCCTTTCCTCGTGGCTTTGACCTCTGACCTCTGCCTGACTTAGGTCAAAGTCAACAGGTGGCCGTTAGTGATTTTACGGGAGCAGACTTTGGAGTAATGAATCAATAGCTTCAAGTTTGCAAACGCTTGAGCTCAAATGCTGGCCCAAGCTTTTGAGTTTTGGGAATAGAGAATGAGAGAGGATAGGGAAGGGGAGTTTCTCTTGAGCCTACGACAGCGACGACAGGGATTACGGAGGATGAGGGAGGATTAATACCATTAGAGAAGAGAAATGTCAGGGAATGGGGTGTTAGCTCCCAGAGACACCAAGTGACTGAGAGAGTTATTTAGTGAAGGGAGCGGCAGGGTTCCCTCCCATCCGCCCTCCTCCCCAATATTCTTCACTAATTCCTTTTCCAATATTGAGAAAGGAGTGGTTAGGAACAGAGGGTCGATGGAGGAGAGGAAGAGGAGGAGGAAAGGGAGAGGAGTGGTATTGGTGAAGGAGACGGAGATTAAGAAGTGTCGGAGAGAGAGGGAGAGAGAGAGAGAGAGAGAGAGAGAGAGAGAGAGAGAGAGAGAGAGAGAGAGAGAGAGAGAGAGAGAGAGAGAGAGAGAGAGAGAGAGAGAGAGAGAGAGACAGACTTGAAACAGCTCATCTCTGTTTCTACCACCTTGTTCATCTTATCTTTCAGTCCTCTCTTCCTGTCTTTTCTCTTTTCCTCCTTGCTCTCTCCCTTTTTCTCTCTCTGTGTGTGTGTAATTTCATCATTATTGTTATTATTTCACTTCTCGTTTGCTCTCAGTCCTTATCATTTCCATTCTCTATGTCTCTTGATCTCCATCTCCTCTCTCTCTGCCTCTCTTTCTTCCTCTCCTCTGGCCTCTCCTCTCGCCTCATCAACTACCACCCTAGCTTATAACCCGTCTCATAAGCGCCCCCTCACGGCCCTGACCCCTACTTTATGAGATAACTTATCAGGTGGGTCCACCTCATACAGTGCCACCTCTGGGATGTTAGGAGGGTGTCTCATCATTCTTATATTGAGTACTAGAAGAGGTTTCCGGAGGTTCCTGTTGATGTGGGGGTCTATCTGTCTGTTTGCCTCTCTCTCACTCTTCCTTTCAATGTCCATCGTTCTCTCTCTCTCTCCCTCTCTCTTTCCACCCATCTCTCTCTCTGTCTCTCTCATTGTGTGTACATCGTTGTCTTTCTCGTTATCTCACTGTGGCTCCATGTTCGAGACGTGTGTTGCTGGTTGGAAGGGTTCAGGATGATAGTCTCACACCACACTGAATTATATGTTTAACAGGGGGGGGGGGGCAGATTCACGAAACAGTTACGCAAGTACTTACGAACGTGTACATCTTTCCTCAATCTTTGATGGCTTTGGTTATATTTATTTAACAGTTTACAAACATGAAAACTTGCCAATCAACTGTTATTATTGTTTTAAACAGCCTCCTGGTGCTTCGGAGCTCATTAACTGTTTAATAATTGTAAACAAAGCAGCCAAAGATCGAGAAAAGATGTACACGTTCGTAACTGTTTGCGTAACTTCTTTGTGAATCAAGCGCCAGATCTCTAACTCTGTCCATGGGGGACGGAAGAAAATGTATATATGCTGATTAGCATTGTAAATATGTGGCCACATCTGTGGTAGAATAACAATAATAAAAAACCTCTAAGATCCATGTAACGGAAGACCTAACCTTTCTGAGCCCTAGGTGAAAGTTTCATGACTACGTTACAGACACATTTGCCAATTACAACCAATTACATACCAATTCTGATAGCTATATATTTTTTTTATTTTAGATTACAAAAGAAATATATTTTTTGGGGGCAGGGATATTCTAGAAGCCCTAAGCCTCAGGCTGGCCCTGATATATCAGTATATAAAATACAATATATAGCTCCTTTACAGAAATAGTAACATGTGAATAGAGAATTGCTAATTTTTATATACATACATACAAATTAATAACGAAACGTATTATACACACTAATAAACAATTATTTATATACATACAATCGCAGAATAATACGTAACATGCGTACAGATAGTTTAAAATATACATAGATATTAATACTAAATACAAACCATGCATCAAATTATGTAATAATAACATAAATATACATGAATTAAAAATACGTGAAATGCAGACTTTATTAATTCATACACAACATACACGAAAATAAATATTAACACAACATGTACCCATAAATGACAATGAACAGCATACAAGCAATTACATATTAATGCCTAACATACATATACACTATAACGCAATACACACAAACAAAATAAAGGCAAATACGTACTAATAAAATACACACAAGCTGTATGGCGATACAATGTATACCACTAATACAGTGAGGAAAGTCAGTCCACATTGCCAGTCGACAGTCGACATGCAGACCCAGAAAACATATTGGAACGTGACAAAATGTTCTGCGTTAAACAGACGTCGTTGGTTTCATTTTTGTTATCGGTATTGTGTACGTAATTTATGGTGTGGGTTTATAAACTATGCCCCGAGAGAGAGAGAGAGAGAGAGAGAGAGAGAGAGAGAGAGAGAGAGAGAGAGAGAGAGAGAGAGAGAGAGAGAGAGAGAGAGAGAGAGAGAGAGAGAGAGAGAGAGAGAGAGAGAGAGAGAGAGAGAGATGGCTCACAGCCACTGACTCTCCGGAAGTCATAAATATTATTCAATAAAGCATTTATACCTAATATTAAACCGAATACATTTTTCATAGAATACTGGATATATTTTGGGGGGCTGGTGAGGGATGAATTAACTTCAGTGAATAACAGCGTTTTGCTTACTCATGACTCACGTCTACAACAGAGGTCTGGTTATTCATGACTCACGTTAATAACAGGCGTCACGTTGATTCACGTGACGTGACGTGAGTCAACAATCATTTAAGCGACGACACAGTAAGGTGGATGACGATATGATGTCGAAACCACACATCAGAAAACACGAAACCGCGACGTTTCGGTCCGGTTTCGAAAAATCTTATAAAAGATTTCGTAAACGAACGTACAGTGAACGTTCTAAAACGTTATTCTCTCTTTCCACTCCGCTTCAAAGTCATTCTCCTCATAATCTTCATTAAAAATTAATCAACAATTTGGGCAAAAATATCGTTCAATATATATATATATATATATATATATATATATATATATATATATATATATATATATATATATATATAAAAAAAAAAAGGAAGGGAGTACCACCTCTAGCTGGAAGAAGGGGGACCCATAGCCTCGGAGGAAACCACGCATAACGCATTAGAGGGAATGTTTAGATCCCCTCCAATACAGTTTCTGTGTGCTTTTCTCCTACCACCCCCTTCCTTGAATATTTTTTGTGCTTTATTATGCATTTGATGGTTACAAGATATACATGGGTTGATACAAAAATAATAATGCAAAAAGGTGCTTAAA